TGCACTCACAAAATTGGTTGGTAAATTCAACGAGTGGGTGCATCGACCTGGTATATCAAGTTTCTGCAATTTTTTACGGCAAATCAGTAGATTTTCGGGATGTAGATTGCTTACTTTCAATTCATGAATGAATAAAGCAACGACATGGTTGAACTTCTTTGCATGGAAAGACGTTTAAAATAACAAAATCAAGACGTATTTAATGCAATTGCATTTATATCGAGTCAATTTCTTTTCAATAATATAACGGGATTTTTACTACCGGTGATTTGGGTATTTTAGCCCCAAAATACCTTTAAATCGACTTTATCTTCTAGGAGTTCGACAGAATTTTTCCTTTCTTCGCTTAAATTATTCCGTAGCACTTTTCTTCAAGAATCTGATAAGATTTTGCTTGAGGCAGATCAAAAAACTTAAATTCGATCGAATAGCTTTCTACTTTCACAATACACGGTCTCGTCAAGGTGCGTCTTTGACCTCGCAGTGTTGGATCGTGAATTCTCTTTTTATGCTGTTTGCCTATTTTGAAATCTCTGTAAATGAAAACTAAAGGGGTTGATATGTGCGAGTTAATGACGCGCCTTATCAACACATTGTGTTGGAGTTCACTGCTTGTTTTTCGTTATGTTTGAGAATTAACCATCAAAAGGACGTATTCAAGAAGGAGTAAATAACAAGCCTCGTTGAGACATGAGCCCTATCATAAATGTATTCTTATAGGATCAGGGCCCTTCGGATCGCATGTTGAAATTGATAGACAAAGTGATAGAAAAAGAAGACATAAGGCGTATGAAGCGATCCTTTTGGTAAATGGGTATTCTAACAGACTAAGAGGGCAAATGATAGACCAAGTATCGGGTCTCTAATGGGTTGCCGTTTGTTGGTCTATTACTTACGTCCTTTGTCTAGTGCAACCACCCGCTTCCACCAATAGGATCCCTCTAAATCCTTTCTGTCATCTTTGTCTATTGCTTTGTCTACTAATTTCAACAATCAGCCCACAGGTCTCAATGGAGTTAGTTCCTAGCAAACACCTAATTACAAATCAGTCTCACGCATGACTAACCCATTGTCTGGCGGACACTGTGCGTGTGTCTGAGGATTCGGGGGTGGGGCAACCAGCAACTTAGAGTCGCGTATTTCGTTGCCCCTTTGAGGTAACCACGTATCTTATTTTCCAAGTGAGCCCTGTTTCGTATATGAGTCCATGTTTTCTATGGCTCACCCGGAAATCGGCGTTACGTCAGAGGAGTCGACGCGCGTACACGCAAATTCCAGGGGGCTCATTAAGTTCCTGCCGTCTCTTATGAGAATCAGTTTTACTGGCGAATATTTGTCACTCGCATAACGACCTGGAGCCGGAGCCGAACTGCCAGTCGGCCTCAGTCGCTAATCAGCACGCGTCGAACCTAGGCACACGTTCGGTCGCGCGCGCGCCTCCACCTGTGTAAGTTTACGCCGAGCTTCGACAATTTGCACTGCTTTCGCCGAGTAGCTCCGATCGGAAAAGTTGCGACTGGTTAGTTTATGACGCTGCATTTCGAAAACTATCTTGCCCATACAGTTGACTGTAATGTTCTACCAGTTATTACAATCGAGTGGCATTTTCGTAGATTTCAAGATCGTTAAAAACTCAAAAAATTGTCAGGTAGTATCCTAAACCCTCGATTTTTGTTCAAACTTGAAAATAAGTGCAGTTTTGACAATTACTGGCTAGTCTAGGACACTTTAATGTCATGTTGCCGATAAATCTAGTGCCGAGACTCCTACGTGCCACCAGTTATTACGGTCGTTAAGTGCCATTCTGGTAGGTTTCGAAAATATAAAAAAACTTGAGTTTTTCAAATTTTTAAACAGCATCTAGAACAGTGAATTGCTTTGTAAATTTGAAAATAAGTGTCGTTTTAGCAGGTAAAGACTGAGTCTCGAGTGATTAACTAAAATAAGTGCCAATTTGCCGATTTATCGGATTAATCTACTTCCGTGGTCGACCATTTGATGCGATTTCCTGATGCGGTGCCCTCATAAAGTAAACTTCAAAAACTGAAAATCTAATAATATTTAATTACAAACATTTGAAATATTCCATTCAATTGAAAAAAGTGTCGTTTGTCGATTGTATATACATACATATATTTTTATGTGCCATTACTAGTAATTATCAGTTGTTTTGAATGAATAATTATTCACATCATTATAGTGATTTTTAGGCCAAACTTGAAACTGAAACCCATTAGTTCAAATTTATTAGTTTGTGTGCTGAATTCTAGTCGACCAACTAGACAAGATATCATTTTTCAAGGACCTCTACTGCGCGACCAAATGCATTTTAGCATCGCGAATGCACAGTGATTGTCACAGGACACACGGACGTTAGAGACGTGTTTTTTACATTCATAATCGATTTCGATTCGAGTTTTAATCGTTAGTGGTTTTGTCGAAAGAGCATCGCATTGAATTGATGTGACAGCTTTTTGTGTGTATCTTCGAGGGACCTAACCTCCAGGCATTTTCAACCAGCAATCATCGCACGATGCTCAGGTAGGTTTTTATCATCCCAGTGATTTTTGCGACTTACACTGTAAACATACATAGTATGCGTAGATGATGGACTGAAATTAACCATTTTCCTAGTTGATTTCGGCATCAACCAAGCTGGACTAACTTTTTGGTAGAACTGACTCGAAACTTGGTTAACTCCGTAATCGCCTCTATCCTCGTATTCCAGTATAAAAATGAATTTTTACAAGGTTTTCTCAACACAATTTTCAAATGAAAACCACAAGAAGTAAAAGATCCAGAGAGTAATCTTTAAAACGGCCACAAGAGTTTTGTCAGGTTTTTTTTTTTTTTTTTTTTTTTGGACCATTGATATTCCTGACTTTTGAAAAGAATTTATACACTCGACAAAATAGTGATTCTTCTTGAAGAAAAGTGACCTTTTCAGTGGTGGAGTTGCAGGGGAGCGAATTTAGGTTTGAATGTAAAAAGTCTGAAAGGAGAGCAAAGCCTATGAAAATATACGTAAAACCCTCACCTTAAATCGACAAAAAAATTAATAAAAATTAATAAATAAAAAATAAAATAAAATATCTCGGTCGTGGAAGAAAAGGCCCCTGTCTGAATAACACCACCTTCTTTGAGAGTGTCAGATTCCGAGAACCCTCTTATGGTACTCGCGTTCTTCTTTCGTGGCTTAAAATCGGCTGGAAGTGATGCTCGTTCAACAGATCTACTCGGTTCCTTGAGCATAAAACTTTCTCACAAACTCAAGTTGATTAAAACTTGAAATGCATCGTATCGCAAGTGACAAAATATGCACGCTCGGTGGTTCCAGTGAAACGACCGCTGACCGCGAATGTCCTTGGGGTAAGAAAATTAACTCAGAAAACAAACGAATAATTGTTGTTCTTTCCCTCAATCAGACCTTAAAATTCTGGATGATTACATTTAAACAACATGTTAGTTTGCTAACATTCAATTTTGATTATCTTGTATAATAGGGAGGGGGGAGGGATTTTTTTTTGAAGGGCACGAGTATTGCCTTCAAGAAAGTTAATATGAATTTCTCTCTAAATTTTTACTTCTACCATTGGTGCACCTAAAATTGATGGCATTATGGGATTCAACTTTTGAAAGTTTAACGGTATTTCGGTCATCAAAAACTAAAATTGTTAGTAAGTATTTTAAAAGCTTTAAGGTAAAATTGATTAGGGGAGAGTGGAAAATGCCCCGCTTCTCTTTCTATTAATTTTGAAAATTTTCTTTGCAACCCGCAGTCCTCTGAAAGTCTAATAAATGGAGATCAGATCATTTATTAACATTTAGGAAAAACCATGGGGCTTTGCCCTCTGACCGCCTTGCGGTCCAACCTCCCGAGGCGCTTCGTGCCTCAGGCGTTGTGTGTCACGCATTCTGCCGTGCTAAGGAAGAACGCCGCATGAACATTCGAGAGTTTCCAAATTTACCTAAATAAAACGTGTATTTTTGACGACATTCATGCACATTTTTCTTTGCAATTTTCAGATATTTTAGATTAAATCGCGTACAAAATTGCCTGAAATTTTTGGGGGAAAAATATTCACACATTTCGTAATTAACACATAGTAAATTCGGTTATTATCGAAGGAAACTTGGCAACGTCTGGAGACTCGTACGGCGTTCTTCCTTAGCACGGCAGCATTACTCGTGTGATTTTATATTATGAAATAAGATTTGATTGAAAATATGTACCTATAATATTTCGGTTCCACTCCAACGACTCCGTCTGTTTGTTACTGCACGGTGCGAGAATTGCAACGGGTAGATCCTCTTTGCGCATTTTTTCTCCAGCTTCCCGCGCAATCTCAATTTGCGTAAAGCTGAAAGGAGCTTTTGACGAAACCGGACGTGCGCAATCGTGCAACAGATGCATTCATGAGAGCTTTAATCTAATCTGGCGAGTCTTATGGCGGGCTCAGTCATGGACGCGGAATTCATAAACAAACAGATCTTAAGAGCGAAGGTAGAATGAAATCGCCAGACGCATTAGTGAAGAGGGAAATAGACGCTCAACATTTGCGTTTCCGTTGCATGCCATAAATGAAAAATTCATGTTAGAGCCGCTAAAATTCATAAGCTTAGATCCTCCTTGATTAGATCTATCATCAGTTGATGATAATTCTCTGAAGTGTCCGACTGCGTTGCCGGGTTTGCAAAACTGCATGCTTTAGCTATTCCACCGTGCTAAGGAGAAACGCCGTATGAACATTCGAGAGTTGCCAAATTTCTTGCGATAAAATGTTTATTTTTGAGGAAAGCTATGAATATTTTTCCTTGAAATTGTCAGGAACTTTAGGTGAAATTGCGAACAAAAGTACCTGAAAAGTTGGAGGGAATTTTATTACAATTTTTCCCGAAAATTCGCGATTTACCGAGGGAAATTTGGCAACGCCTGAAGGTTCATACGGCGTTTTTCCTTAGCACAGCAGTATTAGACAAAACATGTCTAGGTCCTCCCCCCTCCGCTGATTGTGCGCCCATACATCAATAGTTGGTCTTTTCCAGTACACCCTGGTAAAAATTGGCAATAGAATCTGTGTTCCAAAATACCATAGACCTACGGCCGGCTGTAAGATTTCCAATAGCTTCTGTAGCCGGCTACACAATTTCTTATAGCCTTTTATAGCCGATGGCGATTAAGCAACTCACAGCCAGGCGATAAAGTGTATGCTAAACGTCACTAATCACGGATGCTAGGACTTAGTGAGTTTTTGGACCCCTGCTCTCTTTTTGGGCCGTAGTATCTTGATTTATTTTGCGAGGAAAGCTCCGTACTTTTGATGGATGCCTGCCATTCCTAATATATTAGAGCGCATTCAGTTTCGTATGATGCTGTGCAATACCTCTGGTGTGAAACACTTGTTTCAAGCGCCGTGGCACGCTGAGGCGCGGCAGGCGGGCAGCCAGCGCGGAACGCGCATTGGCGCCTACAAACCTAACAGGGATACTTCACGCGTTGCGCAATGCGTGAAGTATCCCTGTTAGGTTTGTAGGCGCCAGTGCGTCGCCGCTCCGCTTTGTGTTGGGCTCTAATATTTAATCTCGTGGATTCAGCGTTGTTCAACTCATGACTTTGAAATGTTTGCACACTCTGTATTGATTATTCTCATTTTAATTGATGAAAAAAAATATGTATTAAAGGAAAATATAACGTTTGTTTTGTAAATATTAAGGTAGTTCCGTATCAAACTTCATGATTTCCAAAGGACACGAATTTCTACACAATTTCTTATAGCCTTTTATAATCGATGGCAAAAAAGCAACGGCCAGGCGATAAAGTGTAAAGCCCGACGATAGGAACTATAGCCCGGCTGCATAATTTTTTATCGCTTCGTATAGCCCGGCCGTATGATTTTCTCCGCATTCTACAGCCAGCTATATGATTTTCTGTAGCCCTCTTTAGCCGGCTATAAGAATTCCTATGGTATTTTGAAACGCAGCTTTTAGCGCCAAATTTCACCAGGGCAGTCGTATATGGTAACACAGACCAGATTCTTGGTTTCTCGAGCCATTTCATTTGGTGTGTTCGACACTAGTTACTTTGCACGGAAATAAGAGACATTTAGCTTTTTATAGCAAGGTGTAAGATACATCAGCCTAGAATACTTTCATAAAATACGTACCACTGATAGTCGAAATTTTTTAGCCTCCCCATCTATCACTACGCACCCGTCACGCTAGTTTTTACCCCCCTATAAATTGCATACACTCTGTTCGACACCTTCCTCCCATTCGCATTATGTGATAAATTTTGATTGAAAAACTCCCTCCTCGCTTCGATTCTTTATTTTCAATTTTCGAAAAATCGAAGCAGCGCGCCGATTTCAGCGTCACGTAATGCAACCTGCACCAGCGGACTGCACTTTGCAATAAGGAACCCCACTTCTTGCGCATCAAAAACGTTCCTTCCTGCATAGAGTTACTCAAAGCGCAACATAAGTCGTTTCTAAAATGAGCCAGATATCGATGACCGAAGTGCGAAATCACGTTATCTCCATCGCGGTGTTTTTAATTTTCCGTTTCTATTTAATTATTTCGAAGGGGAACAGGCCAACTTTATAACTTGAAATTTTCATGGAATTTCATTACATCAGAGATGAAAAATCAAGGCAGTTTTCAAGAAATTTTGTTGAATAGTTGTCCGTAGAAAAATTAAGTATGATAGGAGGTCTGCATTGTTGTAAATGGAGGTACGCGGTTTTGCACTTTAATCATCAATTTAGTAGTTCTTAATTGCAAAACGTAGTCCATTTGTAAATTAAATCGAATGGAGAATAAATATCCAAAAGAAAACATTGATGAGTTTAGGCATTAGTTGAACTGCATTAAGAAATTAGATTTGAGCCGGTTATCGATTTGATAATTTAAATCACCCGATGACCGACTATAATATGTCCTTTGGCTGGGCGCCACTTATTTTGCCAGCGGATACTTTCACCCATCCGGTGCCGTGATCACGGATGCAGTGGCGAGGCGTGCTTCGATATATATCGATATATACCCATTTGAGGCTATGGTAAAGAATCGATTATTAAGGTTTTCGTTGCGAACACCCTGATAATCGATCCTTTTCCATGGGTTCCCTGGTAAAAATTGGCAGTAGAATGTGTGTTCCAAAATACTATAGACCTAAAGCCGGCTGTAAGATTTCCAATAGCTACTGTAGCCGGCTGTACAATTTCTATAGCCTTTTATAGCCGATGGCGATTAAGCAACTGCCAGACGATAAAGTTTATACTAAACGTTACTAAATACGGATACTAGGACTTAATCAGTTTTTGGACTACCGCTCTCTTTTTGTGCCGTAGTATCTTGATTTATTTTGCGAGGAAAGCTCCGTACTTTTGAAGGATGCCTGTCATTCTTAATATGTTGGAGCGCCTTCAATTTCTTATGATACTGTGCAATACCTCTGGTGTGAAATAGTTGCTTCAAGCGCCGCGGTACGCTGTGGCGCGGCACGGCGGGCGGGCAGCCAGCGCTGAACGCGCATTGGCGCC